ATGAACATATTTGCATTGGCAATCTTATTTATATTTCTAAAAACATGACAAGTATAAGTAGAATCAGTAGCTACACCTTTATTGACTGGAGAAACAAAAGCTTCTGATGATAGTAATGCAGTAGGTAAACAGGAGACAGAATCCAAAGGTGAGTTACCAGCATGCGTGAATTCAAGTTGATATAGTCCATCATTGACTGTGCCTTGAAGCAGAACATCTCTACTATGTTTGTCCTTTACCAAACAACAATCAGAGTGAAACTACACAATCACACCATTATCCTTGGTAATTTGGGAAATACTAAGCAAGTTTTTCGCAATTTTGGGAACACACAATACATCTTTAAGATGAATAAGTCTATTTGCATCATAAGAGTGTATTAGCGTCATACCTGAATGAGTAATGGGAACATATTTCCCATTACCAACCTGCACTTTAAAGTCTCCTAAATTAGCAGATTTGAGCACCAGGTTTGATCCATTAGCTGTCATATGACTTGAGGCACCAAAATCCATATGCCATGACTTGTCTTGAAGAGTCTGAGGTGTGGCGATAGCTTGATAAGATGCTGGTGATGCAAGAGATGTGGTATTAGTAGTGCTTGACAGGTGAACACCACGAAGGTCTGCAGGAGAATTGTGTTGATATCCAGGACTAGAAGAATGTTTCGGTATTGCAGGGATTGAGTAATCACGAAAGCCAGCAAAAGAATTAGTTGGAATCAAATAATTAGAGTTGTTTGGTGTAAGGCTAGAAAAGTTATTGTTGTTTGGTGCATAGTGATTAGCAAATAATGCCTAAGCAGAGTCAACAGATCCTTCAGCTAAACTATATGAGGAGGGAGCTTGTGGAGTGTACATATTAACGTTAACCTGTGTTTGAGGATTATAAGAAGAGGGAACAAAAACCTGAATCAAATCTGTGGTAACATTGTATGGCCGAGTGTCTTGGTTTGCCACATACTTGGCAAATCAACCTTGGCTTAAAGCAACCCTGGCCTTTACCTCTGCCTTTAACCATATTGTTGTTAAATTGCAATACTCCAGCATTGAAAGGTTGTGTATTAGGCAAATAACCAGATCTATTAAAAGTTGTTCCTTGGTAGCTTTTATTCTCAAAATCAACATTACCAATTGCAGGATGTATAATACCAGGAGTAGAAATACTAGTGTTGATATTATTCTGATAGCTATAGCCGAGAGCAGAACTTGGTAGATTTTGTACTGGCACTTTGTGAACATGTGAACTATTAAGTGGATGAGGTGTAGATGAGTTACCACTCCCTTGTTTTGATGCAAAAAGAGTTGAATTAAAGTGCTCATGAAAATTTTTCATAGCATTATGATGTCATTCTAACCTCATTTCATGCTTGTGAAGCATGAATTGAGCTTCTTGAATGCTAGCAGTACTACAATTGTAAGTCAAACTTGCAACCACTGCATCACATTCTGGTCCTAAGCCATCCAATATATATAATAGCAACTCCTCATCTCCAAGATTAACACCACTATCCACTAATTCATCTCCTAGTTCTTTCATCTTAAGCACATATTCATTAACACTCAAGTCACCTTTCTTAGTTGTTTGTAACAGATTTCTAAGATGCAGAGTTCTAGCTTTAGAATAGGATTGAAAATGTAACTCCAAGGTATTCCAAATTTCATATGAACTGGTACACTTAACCACATGTCTAAACATGGACTCAGAAATTGACGATAAAAGCCAGCTTACTAAGAACTGGTTTGTCTTCTTCCAATTAAAGTATTTAGGGATTGGTTCTTTTATCAACTCCTCAAATGCAGTAGATTTCCTAACTTGAAACATAGGTGGACATATGTTCTCACCAATAATGAAACCATCAAGTTCATGAGATGTTAGAGCTAGAAAGATCTAAGATTTCCAGGGACTGTAGTTCCTTTCCACGAGCTTCACTGAAATCCTAGGAAGTGTTGCATGCATAGTTGAATTGTTTGCATTGGCACATCCAGCTTGTTCCATTTTTGACTTCAAAGAGAGATTGGAAGACTCGAGATTCAATTGAGCCATTGATGTTTGTCTACAGCTCTAATACCATGAAGATTCTGGAGCGAACTTGAAAAGAAAATGTAAAACAGTAAAGTGTTCGAGAGAGAAGGAGAACGAGCTAAAGAATTGAAGAACAGAGCAAAATTTTATTAATTGTTTAACTAACTTAAAACAGAACACTACTGCACTTATATAGCAGCTACAAGATGATCAAAACGCCGCCGTTTGACAATTAAGTTCTAATATTTTACAAAGTAGACCCTAGTAATATTAATACAACTTCTAATTGTTACAAAATCACCCTTCTCACTCACTCTCATACTCAATAAGTTGTGTATGAAGCTACATTCTGAGATTGAAACGACCTTGCATGAAAATTAATACTGAAATCATAAGTACATTGCGTACGTGGAGTGAAAGCTTCTTATACATGTCGCTTCAACAGGAAATTAGGGTTTGTAGATATTGTCCTCATATAACATTTGATACGGCTAATACTTGTACACAGAGGTAGACGGGCGGCCATGGCCATATAATAATGGTTTTATAGAGATTAAAATGAATGGAAGTGGGTCAAACGTGAAAGTAGCAATTATAATGTATGTCAATGGGTCCTTGAGATGTACATACTAGTCAATGCATATATGATTTATCCACGTTGTATCATCATCACTTTTGTCCAATCAAAAGTAATTAAACATAATATATATGCAAAATTTAATTAAAATATCCGTGGGATCAGTTGGGATTGACCTTAACAGTTTACTTAAAAGAAGTATGATGCCTTTAGGGTACGTGCATGAAATTATTGACAAAACCAGCTGGACAATTCATAAATCCAAATTTCATTATTATGGCCAAATACATGGCATCCCTCGAGAATGAGTAAATGTTGTGATCATATAGCTACAAAAGGAATTGAAATATATTTTTTAAATGATACGAGTGAATAATGTAATTATTATGTTAGTTGGAACCTTTGATTTGTAAGCTTTGTATTATTCATTTTCACAATGATATCAACAATGAGATTAAACGTTACAATGACTCAAAAAGTTTCAACCAAACTTTTTCAACTTCTTGCGACATAATATTGTCATACAAATCGTTTGAAGATCTATCCAACAATATCAATAGCGTCATCGAATTTGTCATCGACGAACAGTAACTAAAGGCTAGCTGTTGACTTTGTCTACCGTTTTTTATATATTTTAATAATAGAATATATTATCTAACAATTTACAAATAAAACAAAACAAACTTTTATATAAAATTGATTATCTGTGAAGTTAAGTCATAAGTGATTAAAGAAAAAAATTATGGTATTTCGAAACACAACCTTAAACGATGAACATGATTGTGGGAACAATACACTGGGGACCGTAGCTACCTTAAAGTGGAAGCAAAATCACAAGGGATGATTTATAAGAAGCTTTGCTTGAACAAGTCGAAGTCACATTCTATCTCAAACATTTATTATAAACAGTCCACGGCTAATTCACATGCCATAGTTTGAGGGATAAATAATACCAAAACAAAACAAATTGACAAGCTGGATCCTGAGTAATATTTGATGAAGGTTGGTCCCAATTGTTAGAAGAATTATTGAACAAGAAAAACAAAATGACTGCTACCATATTGCTATCAGGTTGGGCCTCTAAATCTCAAGTATTTATCTTAATAGGCTTTGTTTGGTTTAGAAAAGGTGGGCCTATGTCAACTCTTCTACCAAAATAACAAAACATTCCTGATGCTTTTTTAGTGGCTATGGAATCAGTCTGTCTACCTATTCATTTCCGTCCTCAAATATATACATATATATGAGTTGTGGGCAATGTAGCATTCCCCTATAATTTTTTTTTTTTTTTTTTTTTAAGATAAAATTGTGAATTTACCACGTTCTTCTAATAAATGTTTAATTAATTTGGTTTATTTTTTTAATAAGGATCAGCTTCCTTTGGTAGTAATTAGATTTACATATAAAAATTATCTATTGAATTATGTTCTAATGAACCATGTATCATTCTAAATAATTAATTTTCCAATTATTTATTTTCTTGTCCTTCTCCTCTTTGAGAAAATGTAGTAGTTTATGTAATAATAATAAGTTAATAACACATAATGAATATTATAAAAAATTCATCCAAATTTCCATTGGTTGAGAGCGACGACACGTGAAGTGTAATTTGTTTATAAAATTATAGCAATTGAATTGAATGGAGCTATATATATTGATTGCCAGATTATATTATTGAACAATTATAGATATAAATTAAAGCCCATCAAATTTTTTATGTGTCTACTATACATGATCCACGATTGATACATTGTTGAATTTAGTGAAAAAAGTCCTTCTCCCTTAATCATGGTTACTTTACACAACATAACTGGTTTTCTATATGTATTTCATTTTATATGTCTACATACTTATCAATACTACATTTGAATACCATACATTATAAGTACTACTACCATAAAATCTTGCCATTTTCTAGAATCTATCAAGATAGGTTTTATAGAATTGTAAGCCATAATTCTGGCAACCCTAAATTCAATACAAAACGTTTAAAGCACGTGGGAAAATAATTTTCAGCATGTGTGGATTATGATAATTATACACTGCTAATAATAAGAGGCCGCGATACTATATAATATATATGCTCCAAAGATAAATTTCCTATTGAAACTCATTTATTTTCTATTAAAAATCATTATTGATGACTGAAATTATTTTCTATTAAAAATCATAAAAATAAATTTAAAAAAAAAACAAAATACTAGAGAACAGAAACAAAAACAAAGGCGTTTGATGGTAGTGAAAACTATTTTTAATAACTCCAAAGTGCTTTTACTGCTATAAATTAAAAAAAAAAAAAATATCTCTGCAACAGTCAAACTCCATCTACGTATCCTTTTGCCAAATTATACACTCTCACTCTGAAACAAAACAAAACAGCTAAATAGAAAGCAATAAAACCAAACAAACAAAAAACTCAAAACTATCTTATTCTTTTTCTTCACATTACACCCCAAATGAAATGACCATCCTCCGCCATGTCTCTTCCCTCCTCCGACCACTCTTCTTCTTCTTCTTCCTCCTTGTATTGCTCTAAAGATGTTTCTCTCATGGACCTCTCCCCAATTCCTCGCCATCCTTCAACTACAACAATCCCACCTCCACCTCCTTCCGATGAGATTACCGTTTCATCTCTCATGGACTCCGAGCCCCACCACATGCCTCCTGATGATTATCTTCACCGCTGCCGTGACCACTCCCTTCTCGTCACCGCTCGTCAAGACTCCATCAACTGGATCCTCAAGGTAAATTTGATGATATATTTATTGTTTTTTGTTTGTATATGTTTTTAGTTGAATATATTGATGATATTATTTGGCAATGTAGGTGCATGCATACTATCATTTCAGGCCAGTTACGGCGATACTTTCAGTCAACTACTTTGACCGTTTCCTCTCTTCTCATTCTCTCCCGGTAATCCTCCTTTTTTTCTTTCACTTTCCCGAGAAAATGCCATATTAACCGGGAAAATGAAGATGGCACTAACTTACAAAGATATTATTTTTCTTTTCTTTCTTTTTGTTGTTATAGCAAGCAAGTGGGTGGCCGTTTCAGCTGCTGTCAGTTGCGTGCTTGTCTTTAGCGGCGAAAATGGAAGAACCCCTAGTGCCTTTGTTATTGGATCTCCAAATATTCGAACCCAGATTCACATTTGAACCCAAAACCGTTCAAAGAATGGAGCTTCGAGTCATGTCCATTCTTAATTGGAGACTCAACTCCGTCACTCCTTTTCATTTTCTTCATTACTTCATTTCTAAACTACCCTCTTCCTCTTCCACCTCATTTACTCGCGTTTTTTCTTCTTCCTCGGATCTCATTCTCAGGACCACTCGTGGTAATTCTCGACCCGGCCTGAGCCGCTTAATCTCTGTGTTTTGGTTTAACTTTTTTTTTTTTTCAATATTAATATTTAATATTTTAATAGTTGTTGATTTCTTGGGGTTTCCACCGTCTACGATAGCGGCGGCAGCAGTGTTATGCGCAGCCGGTAAAAGTTTAGACCTACCGACGAGTGTTGAAGAGAGAGTAAATAAAGTAGGTTTTTTATGGTTTGACTGTAAATAATAGTTTTGTTGGGGTTTTTATGTAAATACATTAGTTATCTTTTTTTGTGAAGATTTCTGGAGAAAGTAAAGCATAGAAAGCTGTGTAAAATCTCTCAATTGGTGCATTTTTGATAGGAAATGGTAAGAAGCTGTCACCAACTAATGGAGGAGTATTTGATCGACACGTGTCCTTCGGCTCAGTTTAAGGACCGGAGAGCCGAGCTGCAAGCAGCACCGCCAAGCCCCATTGGTGTACTGGATGCTGCTGCTTGTGGGAGTTGCGACACTCGTTCGGAGAATCCCGGCTCAAGTAGCCAAGCGGCGGAAGCCGAGCCATCTGCTAAACGGCTCCGATCCTCTGCCCCGGATGTACAGCAACCGTAGATAAGACCATCACCACCATCACAGCATCACCTCTCATTTAATCTCTAGTGTTTTTATACCTTGTGCTAGAGAGAAACGAACGGCCCCTTTAATTTTTGGATGTCATTTATCTATCGTTGATTATAAGATGAACGAACGGTCGGGATTTCATAACATTTGGGAATGAGGGAATTTTGTTATTTATATGAATATTTTATAAAATATTATCAGATATCATATATATATTTTATAATTTCGAAATTAAGGGGTATTTAATATTCATAATTGGTTTTCTTTTTGAGGGGCTCTTTGGTCAATGTGCCCATTGTTCAATTTCATGATGTCTAAATTATTCCTAAAACACACTTTCAATCATGTATTCAAGAGAACTGATTGGGTCATGTAGTTATAAAACCTAAGTTTTTGTTGACGAAAATACACTTATTAAAGTATATGTTTAATCGAAACAGTGACTGATAGAATCCTTGATGGTATCTTTGAAGAAATCGTTTTTGTGTTGGAAGGTCGATTTTGGGACATTAAATGTGTTGGGCCCTAATGGTCCACTGCTGTTTCGCCACGTATCCGACACAGAGTACGTTCAAGTGGGTCACCGTTCATGTCTGTGGATGTTGAAATCCGTAGATGTCCAGCAAGGAAATAAACGTGCCAATTTAATTTCGTAATATTACCCCTACTTTATACCCGGACTTAGGTCTTAGAGTGAGGTGTTGGAGGAGATTAGTGTAAATTAGGGAATTAGAAGGCTTGGTGTTGGTGCAAAAAGGAAGGATGACGTGGGGATGACGGGTAGTCGCCACGTAAGGAAGAGAGAGTGGGATTTGGAGGGAAAGGGCAGACAGAGAGAGAGGTGAAAAGAATCAGAGCCGTCCAGATGGAAAGCGAATTGATATGTGGTCAAATCACCTAGGAGGTTGTATGGGAACAAAAGATCGAGAGGGAGAGATTTGGTTTGGGTGAAAGGAGAAAACTTTCTTCTCCTTTGCGTGCTCTGGCTCCCACGCCATTTCATTTCCTTTTTTCTCTTCACGACAAAATAGACGAACAGCTGTTTGGATATTACCAACCTGTGTTCCAAACATTTTATTATCATATATTAGAAACTGTATATTAATTAAATATAATTGTTAATATTAATTTTACTGGTGACCCATTTATTTACAATGTCATGAGATGGCACTGTCTGTCTCTCTCCAGTCCACATGTTTTCTAGTGTACGGTTACATCAGATTTCCTCTTTTACAAACTTTAGAATATGTTTACATCAATGTATTTTCCATTCCTTTTACACTACACCTCAACTTCTCATATTTCATTACCTTCCCAGCTCCCATCATCTTCAATTTCTTTTCATATACGACCTCAAACGCCAATTAACCTCTCGGTAATTCTGACTTTGCCCTCATTCTTGATAACACCAGGCCCTACAAATTTTGTGGCTAGGATTTCCTCTATAAATTTTGGTCAATCTGGGTCCCCTTTCCAGCCTGTATGCAAAAAGGTTTTTGTAGGGGTCCAGTTTCTTCACCAAATTTCCTGCGCTGCAGGAACAGGGCAAGCAAAAGTAATGTATATATACATAACATTTAGGTAAGAGTTGGGAGATTTGTGTACATGTGAAACCTGGACTGGGGACAGGGAAATGGGCCCCCATCTAGGCCCCAAAGACAAAGCTAGGCAAATCAGGACCCCACATCACAGCCAACTATTAGTTAGTAATTTGAAAGAAAAAAAAAAGAAGTCAGCCCCTCCACCTGGTATCAGGGATGCAGTAGAAAAAAGAAGTTCTGAGCCTTTTGAGGACAAGTCACTAAGGACGAGAAGAAAGAGCCAATGCATGAGACAAACCAGCATTTACCAACCACCCCACCCTCCATTTTCATCACTCTCTTTTCAGAGAAATTATATAGTGCTTTTCCTATTATACATTTGTTAGGATTCGACGTATTGGTTTTTTTGTGACCGGCCTACTTAGTGCACTTTGACTAATCTTTTAGGTTCTGAGTGAATAACAGAGTAAACCCGTTTGACCATCTCTATTAGCACACGAATGGAATCAAACTTAAACTTTATACTAATATATCAAGAGTCTCTATCGCCTCCACTCAACAACCTAAGGGTGATTGACAAAAAGATGTAGTTGTTAGTCTTGTTTTCTTAAATTATTAGTTTTGCGACAACGATTCAGGCCTTCCGCTCACAATTGGATGTTGCCCACCTAGCTTACAATCCTCCTTCAAATTAACCCTTTAGTAGATGACAAACTTTTACCCATGAAATTATATATATCCAGGAATCTTGTCTTCGAAAAAAAAAAACTGAAATTTGTGATGAGACTTTGATGCCATTTGTTAGGGTAATTAGATGCTTATACAATATTTGTTAGCAGAGACATAACTTTATTTCCTTAAACCATAAGTGCTACTTATTGGTTTGAGATGATCAATCCCTTGGCGGGCTACAACAAGATGTTGGCCCGCCTAGAAACACCATCTTTGTCTTAGTTATCGATTAAAATGGGGTTTTATATATCGATTGATTTCCAATTTAACAGACATTCATTAGTCGTTGCAGGGCATCAATATATGACGTGTTGGATGATGATGTATGTGATGCATTATAAATTTTCCCACCGAGTGAACTGTGTAGCCTGCACGGCCTAATTGGCAAATTCTTTCGTTTGATGATCCACGTGCTAGACTGCTTTCATTATTCTGAATGTGGGCTTGGGGGTTTCAGGTTTTGGTTTGGAGGTATGTGTCTGCCATTCCTAATCTTAGTAGTGCTTTATGCTTGTTTCTTTTTTAAAAGAGCTTTAAATAATAATACATCACCAATACCAACGTCCTTTTGTTTATTTCTTGTTTTTGTTGTGTATGTCACTCACACACATTTTACAGACGACCCTATTGATCAATTAAAAAAATGTGGTTCTATCATTTTCACAATATAAAGTGAATGAGATGCCCTCCACAGTTATCCAGCAACAATTATTAATGAAACTCAAGGACACATACATACCTTCATTACTATTACATCTTACTCAACCATTAATTCATGAATAAGTCCTGGAAAATTAATTGATGAATAAATTCAGATTTAAATCCTCGTCATTTTATGTATGCTACAAGTATATTTAAGAGTCCCATATTATGGTAATTTTTTTTTTTTTGTTTTTTTGATCGAATGTTCAGGCAAGTTTACGTACATCTCAACTAATTTTTCAGGGCTTGAAGTTAATGATCGGATAAGCCTCTAATGGTCGCCCATAAGTAGCCGGGGTAATGAACCAAACCTCTTAATATACACCCAAAAGTCTTAGTTGATCATTCGACTTAACTCTATGGAAAATTTTAAATAAGAGTAAACAACTTTTTCCCAGAAAGGTTTGTTTTAATAACTTTTCCACCCAAAAAGTTTCAAAATACCACTTCTCACCCAACTTTTATTCCATTAATATATAAATATACTTCACTTTCTTAGTCGGCTTTCACTAGTTACTAGGAGCTAAGGTAAAAAATTTTTGTAGAGTGAAGGTCAGTGGCTAATGGTGGTGACCGATTGAATATTTGTCGTCAGAATCAACCGAAATAAGCTAAAAACATAACCTAGTTTGGGTAGCTAGCAATCGGCGGAAATCAGGTGCGGAGTGAGAGGGGTTTGTAGAGAGAGACTAGATGTAAAGGTGGTGAATAGAGAGAATTTTCGACGTCGAGTAGCGGAATCATTTAGGTAGTAACGGATATTAACTTTGGTGGAGAAAGTGGTATTTTGAACTTTATGAGGGAGAAAGTCTCATTAAGGCAAGCCTTGGGTGGGAAAAATCGTTTACTCTTTTTTTAAAGGGTTTAAATTTTTCAGTAGAGTTAGGTCAATGATCAACTAGGACTTTTAGGTATATTACTCAAGAATTCTGAGTTCGATTCATCCCAGCTGGTAATATGAGCAGCTACTAAAGGTTTATCCAGTTGTTAACTTTAAGGCCTTACCTTAGAGATTAGTTGATGTGCACGCAAATGACCCAAACACTTCGTCAACAATTTTTTTTTTTTTTTTTAACCTTTGGTATTTTTGTTGGGTTGAAGTTCTCATAAACACAATATGAATCATTTATTGAGATGATTTGTAGCTTGTTGAGTGGACATGCTCTTAATTTATGTTTCGTCATTACAAACAGTATTAACTTTTTGATCAAACATTATAATCATGATGGGCAGCATGGTGGCCAGAAACTTAAATACGATTTGATAAATTTATGGAAAATCGCTGACTTTTCTTTGGTTTCTTAATTGATCGATGGATTCAAGGGTTATGAGATTAATTATAAACTAGTACAAGATCTTAAAAATGAGTACTTTTGGATTCCCCTCTCTTTGTTACTCAACAAACTTTCAGAATCTACAGCCAATGATAATAATTCAAGGTTTAATTTATAGAGAAAAGAAAGAACTGAAAAACGTTTTATTATTTTATTGAAAACTGATCCATCTTCAGAAATTATTGAAGGTTTTAGCATATTTGTCATATATCATAAGAATAACGGGGTTTTCATTTGTGAGCAAACACACAGGCAAGAAATTGTGAAACATAATAATTACAGGGAAATTGCATTCACTTTCAATGTGAAAATTCATATGCATTATGTCTTTGATTGACCATGACTGGCACCATTACAGCACAATATGAGGACAAAACAAATTCAATTTCAAGAATTTGTTCCCTACATAAAGGGTAATTTTTGTTCATCTGCTTTTTGATGTTACATGCTTCCTAATTATTAGTCCTTTCTTTGCTTAATTTATATTTATTTATAAATCATTTACTTTTATAGTCTTTAATACTCGTAACCAACCAAAATTTATACCAAATCTAGTTATAAACCCTTTGGAAGTAGGATGTAATAATAAATTTCCTCTTATTCTTGTCATTGTACTACTAACAATTTACTAATATAAGTTCAATTTTTTTACCAAATTGTCTTTCTACCATTTATTTTAATACATAAAACTTAACAACTTCCTTCTTGCATTGTGCTCCTCCAAAAGCACACACCAGAATAAGAGGTAAAATTTATTATAGTAACCGATCAAACGGTCGAATACTACCCCATAAACTGAAAATTCATAACCCCAATTGCTATTGGAATCCCATTTGTTGACCTGTACATGTTTGAACAACCTCTATTAATCTCGTCTTTTTTTTAATAAGAATCAATACGATTTTTATAAGGTTCCTCTTCGAAATGAAATTCAATCGGATCTAGAGAGACCATGTTGTCATCCATCGGATCCCAAGTACCTGGATCAATCGAAAGTTCGATTCTATTTGAACTACTCATTTTCAAATGATATCTACGTTGTTCACAAATATTCATTTTTTACTTCAATGATTTGTATTCTCTCTTAATCCTTAGAGATTTAATGTTATTTAGTTTTAAATAAGTCATTTGGCTTTAGCATATATGATTGCTTTCTTCTCGTCCGTTGGACTAACTCTATAAAAATGCTGCAAATAATCACCAACAACCACCTTTTCGAAACCATCCTCTTCCATGGCATCATCTTCTTGGTTGGGCTTGGGCTCGGGCTCGATCTCGACCCGTGATGGTGGGTTATAGAACAAAGCAACAGAGAATCTCTCCACATCCATTTGGGTCACAACTCTATGCCATGGGCTTTTTAACCGTCCATTACTCATGATTTCAAGCAGATCTCCCACATTGACCAGCAACGTATGACTGGGCCACGGCAGGGTGAGCCATTGTTTGTCCTTGAGAATTTGCAGACCCCCAGTGGCTTCAAATTGGATCAATAGAGTGAGGACACTCCCATCAGTGTGAGGAGTCAGGCCCAAAGTGAGATCTGGCCTTGGACATGGTGGGTAGTAATTAACTCTAACATTCATCTCACTGTTTTCTGGATTTAAATATTTCAGAAAAGCGTTTCTTTCTAGAGAAAAGGCCTCTGCTAGTGCTTCAAGTAACTCGTCCATTACGTTTCTTGCTTGCTTCACATATTTCTCTATCACTTCCCTGCAATTCACAGTATCATAAAAACTAAAATAGTGAAAATATGTGATAAAATATATGAACAAGAAGTAAATGTTAGTATATTTAGAAAGTAACATCCAAATTAGTGGGAACTTGTATATTTTATTAATTGATTTGATTAGTGATAAATGATGAGTAATTATATAAAAATAAAAACTATGTCCGTTTAAGCACTTATATATATATAATTGATTTGATTAGTGATAAATGATGAATAATTATATAAAAATAAAAACTATGTCCGTTTAAGCACTTATATATATATATCAAGTGTCTGAACTAATTAACACGTACTTCAATTAATTCTTGAAAATCCATTGAACACCTTAGAAACATATAAATCTTTCATCGCCTGGCCTTGTAACAAAACATCGAACCCAGGTCTCTAGGGTGAAAGCCAGGCTTCTCTCCGTTGGACTCAATTTTTTTGTTAATTTATGCACTTAATTCTCTATCTTCATTTCTGGCCCTATATTTGTGCATTTTTATCCTCATTAAAAAAAAAAAAAAAAAAAAAATTGCATGAAACTTAATTTGGATCGATCTCTCATTTGATAAACATTATATTTTGTTTCATCGCATAATGTAGATCAAATTAAGACTCATTTTAACTATATTTTGTTATCAAATGTAATTTCAAATTATTTAAAATATTGTTTCGAAAAAACATGTTGAACACATTTTATTTTCAATAGTTTAAATAAATTTATAAATAACAGACCCTTTCCCTTTCAGGAGATTATTTTTGTTGGATGAACAGTAAACCTTGTCTAGATTGTAGATGAATCTATGAGAATCTAGAACCAGGTAGAAGATTTGGTGGGCTGAACGTGGCTTCAATGTTGGCATAATAAAATTGCAAGGATAAAGTTATAATACTTTTGCTTCATGATTTTTAATGCTACTACGTACAAGTTATGATTCTTTAACAGTAAAGATTTGTCAGATGATTTTAGAATAAAATCAGTATTACATTAGTTTATATACCTGAATGAGCTATGAAAAAGGAGAAGAAACGTACTTGAAATTGGGTGGGTTTTGAGGCCAAACATTGAGACCTTCATCTCCTCCGACGGGAGCTGCTTTCATAGTCAAACGATCAATCCAATCCAACGGCTCATCTTCTGACTTAACAAAATTCCGGCCATAACCCATATTATCAATGCTGGCATACGATCCAACACTCCTTTTTTTATCTTCAAACGACAGCCCAAAAAATCCCTTTACAACATCCTTCACACTCTGCAAATCACTCCAACTTATGCCATGTTCCGTAATTAAAAACAAACCCCATTCTCTAGCACCGCTGGCTAGCTTTCCCAGCTCTTGGGCTCGACCCTCGGGCTCGGACCCAGCCCGTAACTTAGCCACGTTTATTAGTGGAATAGTTTTTGGGAGGGATGGCTCAACAGGGTGTTGTGTGTTGTTCGCCCTTATGAACCTCTTGGGCAAGTGGTTGAGCCCTTGTCGTGCGAGTTCTTGAACCACTGGGACTTTCGAAGTTCTTGGGTTACCTTCTGGGTCTGTGAAACTGGCTTCATGGAAGTACCCCTCATGATTTTCCATGGATCTCAGAGTGTGCAAAAATTGCTGAAAGAATAGTAGAGATATGTTGGACAAAACAGTGTCACAAATTAAGTATTAGATAAGAAAGGTTGCGGTTCGGGCCGGCGATGTGTAAGTGGATTATTTGGGTGGTCCTTTGAAGTCCAATCCAAGTGGGACAAGTTAACGGGCGGGATATTGACCCATAATCCCCCACCCTCGAACTCAATTATTGATAAACAACAAAATTGAAATTATATGCAAAGTATTTGATAATGTTGTAAGAGTTGCAATTGGTTAACCCCAAAATATTTGACTATGATCCAAGAATTGAAACCAATAAGGTGACATTATCCAACATATAAAATCTCTAAGTATAAGAAATATTGGAGTGATTTAAAGCATAAACTATCTCTCTTAAAATATATATTTTTTAACTTATCTTCCATAATATATAAAATCATACTTCACTTTTCTAGTCGGCTTTCACTGAGTTACTAGGAGCTAAGGTAAAAGAATTTTTGTAGAGTGAAGGTCATGGACTAAATGGTGGTGACCGATTGAATATTTGTCGTCAATCAACCGAAATAAGCTAAACATAAACCAGTTTGCGGTAGCTAGCAATCGGCGAGAAATCAGGTGCGGAGTGAGAGGTTTCGTAGAGAGGACTAGATTTAAAGGTGGTGATAAGAGAATTTTCGACGTCGGAGTAGGCTGGAATCACTTTAGTTAGTAACGGATATTAACTTGGGTGGGAAAGTGGTATTTTGAAACTTTATGATGAAAAGGTCTCATTAAGCAGCCTTGGGTGGAAAAATTCGTTTACTCTTATTTTAAAGGGTTTAAATTTTTCATTAGAGTTAGGTCAATGATCAACAGGACTTTTAGGTATATTATCAAGAATTCTGAGTTCGATTCATCCCAGCTGGTAATATGAGCAGTCTAACTAGGTTTATCCAGTTTTAACTTTAAGGCCTTAACCCTTAGAGATTAGTTGATGTGCACGCAAATGACCCGAACACTTCGGTCAACAATTTTTTTTTTTTTTTTTAACCATAATTTGGTATTTTTGTTGGGTTGAAGTTCTTCATAAACACAATAAAATGAATCATTTATTGAGATGATTTTGCTTGTTGAGTGGACATGGCTCTTAATTTATGTTATCGTCATAACAAACAGATATAACTTTTTGATCAAACATTATTTATATTCGAATGGGCACAGTTGTGGTGCCAGAAACTTAAATCGATTTGTAAATTTATGGAAAATCGCTGACTTTTCTTTTGTGTTTCTTAATTGATCGTATGGATTCAAGGGTTATGAGATTATTAAACTGTACAAGATCTTAAAAATGAAGTACTTTTGGATTCACTCTCTTTTTGTTACTCAACAAACTTTCAGAATCTACAGCCATATTGATAATGATTCAAGGTTTAATTTATAATGGAGAAGAAAGAACTGAAAAACGTTTTATTATTTTTTGAAAACTGATCCATCTTCAGAAATTATTGAAGTTTTTACATATTTGTCATATTATCATATAATACGGGTTTTCATTTGTGAGCAAACACAAGGCAAGAACAAGTTGTGAAACATAATATTACAGGGAAATTGCATTCACATTTCATGTGAAAATTCATTAATGCATTATGTCTTTGATTGACCTGATGCCATGTACAGCACAATTGAGGACAAAACAATTCATTTCAAGAATTTGTTCCCTACATAAAAGGGTAATTTTTGTTCATCTACTATCTTTTTGATGTTACATGCTTCCTAATTATTAGTCCTTTCTTTGCTTATTTTATATTATTTTATAATTCATTTACTTTTATAGTCTTTAATACTCGTACACAACCAAAATTATACCAATCTAGTTATATAACCCTTTGGAAGTATGATGTATAATAAATTTCCTCTTATTTCTTGTCATTGTAAACTAATACACTTTACTAATATAAGTTCAATTTTTTTTACCAAATTGTCTTTCTACCATTTATTTAATACATAAAACTTAACAAACTTCCTTCTTGCATGTGCTCCTCCAAAAGCACACACCAGAATAAGAGGTAAAAATTATTAAGTATACTCGATCAAACGGGTCGAATACTACCCCCCTAAACTGAAAATTCATAACCCCAATTGCTATTGAATCCCATTTAGTTGACCTGTACATGTTTGAACAACCTCTATTAATCTCGTCTTTTTTTATAAGAATCAATACGATTTTTATAAGGTTCCTCTTCGAATGAAATTCAATCGATCTAGAGAGCCATGTTGTCATCCTCGGATCGCCAAGTACCTGGATCATCGAAAGTTCATTCTATTTGAACTACTCATTTTCAATGATATCCACGTTGTTCACAAATATTCATTTTTTACTTCAGATTTGTATTCTCTCTGAATCCTTTGAGATTAATGTTATTTAGTTTTAAATAAGTCATTTGGCTTTAGCATATTGATTGCTTTCTTCTCCTCCGTTGGACTAACTCTATAAAATATCTGCAAATAACACCAACACCACCTTTTTATTACCAACCTGTGTTCCAAACATTTTTATCATAATAGTATATTAGAAACTGTATTATTAATTAAATATAATTGTTAATATTAATTTTACTGAGTGACCCATTTATTTACAATGTCATGAGATGGTCACTGTCTGGTCTCTCTCCCAGTCCCAGACATGTTTTCTAGTGTACGGTTACATCAGATTTCCTCTTTTACAAACTTTAGAATATGTTTACATCAATGTAGTTTCCATTCCTTTTTACACTACACTCAACTTCTCATATTTCATTACCTTCCCAGCTCCCATCATCTTCAATTTCTTTTCATATACGACCTCAAACGCCAATTAAACTCTCGGTAATTCTGACTTTGCCCTCATTCTTGATAACACCAGGCCCTACAAATTTTGTGGCTAGGATTTCCTCTATAAATTTTGGTCAATCTGGGTCCCCTTTCCAGCCTGTATGCAAAAAGGTTTTTGTAGGGGTCCAGTTTCTTCACCAAATTTCCTGCGCTGCAGGAACAGGGCAAAGCAAAAGTAATGTATATATACATAACATTTAGGTAAGAGTTGGGAGATTTGTGTACATGTGAAACCTGGACTGGGGACAGGGAAATGGGCCCCCATCTAGGCCCACAAAGACAAAGGCTAGGCAAATCAGGACCCCACATCACAGCCAACTAATTAAGTTAGTAATTTGAAGAAAAAAAAAAAGAAGTCAGCCCCTCCACCTGGTATCATGGATGCAGTAAGAAAAAAGAGTTCTGAGCCTTTTGAGGACAAAGTCACTAAGGACTGAGAAGAAAGAGCCAATGCATGAGACAAACCAGCATTTAACAACCACCCACCCTCCATTTTCATTCACTCTCTTTTCAGAGAAATTATATAGTGCTTTTCCTATATATCATTTGTTAGGATTCGACGTTATTGGTTTTTTTGTGACCGGCCTAACTTATGTGCACTTTGACTAATCTTTTAGGGTTCTGAAGTGAATAACAGAGTAAACCCGTTAGTGACCATCTCTATTAGCAACCGAATGGAATCAAACTTAAAACTTTATACTAATATATCCAAGAGTCTCTATCGCCTCACTCAACCACCTAAGGGTGATTGACAAAAAGATGTAGTTGTTAGTCTTGTTTTCTTAAATTATTAGTTTTGCGACAACGATTCAAGGCCTTCCGTCACAATTGGATGTTGCCCACCTAGCTTACAATCCTCCTTCAACATTAACCCTTATAGTTAGATGACAAATCCTTTAGCCATTGAAATTAGTTATATTCAGGGAATCTTGTCTTCGAGAAAAAAAAAAACTGAAATTTGTGATGAGACTTTGATGCCATTTGTTAGGGTAATTAGATGCTTATACAATAATTGTTAGCAGAGACATAACTTTATTTCCTTGAACCATAAGTGCTACTTATTGGTTTGAGATGAGTCAATCCCTTGGCGTCGGCTACAACAAGATGTTGGCCCGCCTAGGAAACACCATCTTTGTCTTAGTTATCGATTAAAATGGGGTTTTATATATCGATTGATTTCACAATTTAACAGACATTCATTAATTAGTCGTATGCAGGGCATCAATATATTGACGTGTTGGATGTATGATGTATGTGATGCATTATAAATTTTCCCACCGAGTGAAACTGTGTAGCCTGCAATGCCTAATTGGCAAATTCTGTCGTTTGATGATCCACGTGCTAGACTGCTTTCATTATTCTTGAATGTGGGCTTGGGGGTTTCAGGTTTTGGTTTGGAGGTATGTGTCATGCCATTCCTAATCTTAGTAGTGCTTTATGCTTGTTTCTTTTTTAAAAAGAGCTTTAAATAATATATACATCACCAATACCAACGTCCTTTTGTTTATTTCTTGTTTTTGTTGTGTATGTCACTCACACACATTTTACAGACGACCCTATTGATCAATTAAAAAAAATGGATGGTTCTATCATTTTCACAATATAAAGTGAATGAGATGCCCTCCACAGTTATCCAGCAACAATTATTAATGAAACTCAAGGACCACCATACATACCTTCATTACTATTACATCTTACTCAACCATTAATTCATGAATAAGTCCTGGAAAATTAATTGATGAATAAATTCAGATTTAAATTCCTCGTCATTTTATGTATGCTACAAGTAATATTTTAAAGAGTCCCATATTATGGTAAATTTTTTTTTTGTTTTGTTTTTGGTTGATCGGGAATGTTCAGGCAAGTTTACGTACATCTCAACTAATTTTTCAGGGCTTTGAAGTTAATGATCGGATAAGCCTCTAATGGTCGCCCATATTAGTAGCCGGGGTGAATTGAACTCAAAACCTCTTAGATAATACACCCAAAAGTCTTAGTTGATCATTCAGCTTAACTCTATTAGAAAATTTTAAAATAAGAGTAAACAACTTTTTCCCAGATAAGGTTTGTTTTAATAACACTTTTCCACCCAAAAAGTTTCAAAATACCACTTCTCACCCAACATTTATATTCCATTAATATATAAAATATACTTCACTTTCTTAGTCGGCTTTCACTGAGTTACTAGGAGCTAAGGTAAAAGAATTTTTGTAGAGTGAAGGTCAGTGGACTAAATGGTGGTGACCGA